TATCTGAGATGTACTATAACCTGATGACCCCCCTTTAGCACTACGTCATCAGCTAGGGGATATTGTCCAAGCCTCGTGTCCAACGGCAACTGTGAAGGGCTGCTGCTGCTGCTGTAGAAGCACGTGGGGGATGCTACCGTCGGTACTACCATACTTCAAGTAGCGGCGGGTCTCGTCTAGTCTGCTATGTTTCCTCGATAGCACCCCGGGCCTGCTCACTTGGTATCGTCCTAGCAGAGGAGAGGAGGTAGTAGCAGAACATTGGCAAATCTACTACTCTTTCTCGACTTCCTATCTGGATTCTCACGAGATAACCTCGCATGGTTCTGGAGGGTTCATTTATTCCATTCGTCGGCTACGTTTTGACTTGATAATCGAACAGTGTCAAGGAGGTATAAGATATAGTGCAATAAGTACTCCTATCAAGCCTATCCTATCTTCTACAGTGTGTTGTACCCATGTTTGCTCTACAGTTATGTACATAACACAGTTCTATGTATGTTCTACAGTTACTAATGGACCTTCAGGGGGTGGAAGGCTGCTGGCCTCTTGAGGTGAGGGGTTGGGGTGCCCTCATAAACGACTAGGCAAGCCACTATTCACAGTGGTGTTACTCAAAGTCACTTGTTCCATCTCTAGTGCTAGTCGCTCATCATGACGGCATCATGGTGCACTATGATGTGCTGTATTACTATTACATAACGCTTGTGTTGTGCTAGTAGTAGCAGGAATGGGTCTGCCGAGGCCCCAGCCTTAGTAGCTAGGATGATACTACCTGTTTTTCAATCATGTGTCCTCCCCACTAGTAGAACTGGATCATCTGTAATATCTCATCGAGTGTTCGCATCAGCAGCAGCAGCACGCTGTTTGATCCGCCGACCGTACTCTACTCGACGTGGTAGGTCCCCAGCTACCATGCTACCCTTGTCGTACCAATATAGGTGCCAACCTTCCAAAATGGAATGATCAGCGAGGTACATCTATGGGACCTGGAAGATCCAACGCCCTAACACCCTATCTAGGAGCTAGTACTGCATTGTTACGGAAGGTGAGGCATCATCATCATCATTAGTATCCAACTCCCTATAGGTTGATGTTGACCGGTTCCTGGGTCATCCTAGTGGTCGTCAGCAGCAGCAACAGCTGGTCAGACTATATCGTTCGTCCTCCCAATACAACAACATACAGCCATCTAACGGGGGGAAGCCCTCTGGTCATTGGTGGTCTAAGGTCCTAGGTGTATCTGCAGCAGGATATGCTGTGATGAAGCTGAAAGGACTGAAGATTCTTATACCAGTACTCAAGTTCTCTAAGGCTGGGCCCTTGCTTAGCATGTGTGTATCCACGTTGGCCTATGGGGCTGTATTTGGATGGCAGTAGGGCATTCATCATCTTTCATTAGGTATCATATCCATATCAGGTTCGGCACTGGTATGGTAGGTTTGATATTCATCCACGAGCTTGGTCACGCATTGATGATGCGGAACCTTGGTGTACCTGCGGGGCCTATGGTATTCATACCTTTTATGGGGGCATCAGTAGAGATGCGTAAACACCCTTCTAATGGTGATCTACCACGCTATTAGTCGCCCCTTCGAAAGCCTCCTTCTCAGCATATCAAGAGGCGCTGATAGCTCTAGCAGGCCCTGTCCTCGGCTCCCTCGGTGTTCTCCCTATTGCTGCCTATGGAGCTGCTACAGGTGCTGCTGCTGCGCTCCCCTCCATATCATTGACCCTACTCTAGACCATTTTAGGTTCACAGCTAGCCTTCGCCCTATCCCACTTCGGGTATATGATAAACCTGTTCAATCTCCTACCTATCGGCCAACTAGATGGTGGTCGAGTCGCTGGTAGCCTCAACAAGTGGTTCCTACCTGCAGGTCCTAATCAGTGTCCTAATCAGAGTCTTCTTAATCAGAGTCTTCTTACTCACTACTCCCATGATAGGTCTGGGTATATGCGGCAGTATGATATACTTTACGCCATATTGCTCACCGATCATGTATCTCGTTTTCCTTGGTGGTGCCTATACAACGTAGCATACTCATCCATCTATCTCTCGATATCAACTCTATCATCAGGTATCAACGCTTCTTCGGTACTGGCGATATGCCACCCTACTACTATAACATGACTAATGCTCAGAAGGCCTGTATATCAGCAGGGTACGGCTAACCCCGGCTAACAGTGTTTTAGGATTTGTTGTAGTTACTTTGGGCTCATTGCTGCTCTCATGTATGGTATGTACGAGAACGACAAGCAAAGGAAGAGCCCTAAGCAGCTACAGAGGGAGCTAGGCATCAACCTAGGGGGAGGCTCCTGGGGGCAGTCCCTTATCAACCACGGTGAGGGTACAGTCGGAGGACATAGTCGTGGTGGGCAACATAGTGATGAGGTACTGCTAGTATCACCCCAATGCCTTCGGTCAATCCTCCTCCTCTTCAGTACGGTGGCCTTTGGTATGATGATGAGGATGATTATGGTTGGAACACTTCCCGTAACCATACGTGGTCTACCTCGTCCTCTGCTACGGTAACAACAGAGACTTATGATCCAGTGCACGGCTGGAGGAGGACCACTACAGTATACGATGGTTCACCGCATCCATTTAACACAGGCTCCTCCTCATCTGGTCCCCTTATCTGATCACTATAATACACCAATCTTCACCCTTCCTGTTGCCATTATTTCCTATAGCCATATTCATCCCGTTGTGTTGAGTCCGGGTTAATTACTCATCGTCATCATCAGGCTAATCGATAATAGTCTTTGTCTGGCCTATAGCTCCCTATTAGAGCCTATGAGAGGACGTACTATCTTCACCTGCATCTAGTCGTATCTAGCTCGTGTCCTTCAGTCGGGGATGTCCTTGGATCCTTGGATACCCATCCCACTAGTATACCATACCAGGCTCAGCCTGGCAAGCCAGGGGCAGAAGAAGCTCAGGCCTCGTCATCTAGGCCTGGAAGCACATCGTCTCATTCGCCGATCACCGATACTACGGCGACCAACCATCACTTCCCACAGTTGGACATAGCTAGTATATTAGGCCAGAGTAGATAGGCATCAATATGAGGGGCTACTGGATAATGATGACTACAATGTAGGTGCCTCTCGAGCATTGAGTGATAGGAGCTATGAAAAGAGGAGTATAGCAGCACATGAGGTGGAATCACGTATCAAGCAGGCTTTGCAGCAGAGGGATCACTACGGTCAAGAGCACGCTGCAACAACAGCAACTATAGTATCTATTATAACGGTAGTAGTACTGTATCAGTGAATATGTCTCCTGTCCCCCCCCCCTCCCCTACCCGACCACTATCAGGTCCTCACCTCCACCAACTTCACTAAGTCACCCTATCCGAACGCACGTAAAGGAGGACTATTAGGACTGGCTAGTGTTGCTATTGCACTTGAGAATAGGAATCTCGACCCATTCCTCGATACCATCATGGCACCGGTAGTAGTTAGCCTGTAATACTGTAATCAACACACTGTTAATAGGTATTGTATTTATTCGATGATGATGATAATAGATGCCGATACTATGCCTGTGAGGCTATGTTTAATATAAGCAAAGTCGCTAGAGGCTTGTTGCTCAAAGGGCGGAGGATGTGTCTGGTGGGTTGTTGTTGTTGCTGCTGCCCTAGGGGGTATCAAGGCGACTATCGTCGATGGCAGGCATTGGATGGAGTATGCAGACTGGTGGCTGATGTAGACCAGGAGGTTAAGTCCGGTGCCCAGTACTTGGATAGGCTTCTCAAGGACATAGTCTCCGATGTTAGCAATAAGCCCTTTATCATACGGGACCTTCCAACAACCCAACAGGAGAAGGAGGAGGTACATGATCATGATTATCATTGTAGCAGATGCTATTACTACCGCCCTTACCATCAGTTACTACCCTCATCCCCTATTACTACATCCCATTCGCCTGAGCTCTATGAATCTTCGTATCTGCCTGAGGGCTCTGTCACCTCAACAAGCTGTGATCCCCTGCCTGGGACAACCAACAACTGTGACATTAATATCGTAACAACACCACAGTCCCCGGCCCTCCCCGAGGACCCGCAAGGTCACCGTTTGATGCATCTACCATCGACCTCGACTACTGATCAGCAAGATCCTCATGGTACTCCGTCCTCTGGCAAGACCTTGTTACACTACCAATCAGGTCTCTTTGATTTGGGTGCCTTTATTGGGCGTATAGCAGCTCATCTCCGCGTAGTGAACCCCTTTATCAAGCAGTTGGCTATGTCCTGGATATCAGTCAGTTCTTACTACTACTAGTCATCATCTTTACTACTCTTAGTAGCAGGTCCTGCATTCATTGCCGACTACTAGGGATCTACTATTGCTCCATCTACCCCTCTTCCTCGGCACACTCTTCTATCTCCAACGTGATCCCTCTCGTGGGGACCTACGTCACACCGCCGACCAAGTGATAATAATTCTGACAATAATCAAAGGAGGCAGCTTTGGTATTGTAGGTCCTTGGTGAGCTCCTAGATGATTTGACGTCCACGTCGTCTACGACAGTACTGACTAAGATGGGCGATGGCAAACCCCCTATGCCTCCCCTAACTAAGCTTAGAGCCATTGTAGCCAAGAGCGTGAGGCCACCTCCACCCTCCATCACAAGATGCTGTTATTGTAGGTATCGACGGTGGTGTCCAACTGTTCCTCCACGGAACCTTTGAGCCGATTAACAGCCATGAACTGGCTATTGGCTTTCCTCAACACTCCTGGTCTACTCCTGCCCAGCCTACCGACCGAAGCAGCGGTATGCGCTATCCTCTCAGTGCGTGCTACATGTCCTCACAGTTACTATCGATGCCCGAAGAAGAATACGACACTCCTCGTATGACCATGGATGCCAATGCAGCAGCTAACCTGAGAGCCCTCCTACCACTACTCCTCGATGGGGTCATCCTACCCTCTCTGCATAGTCTTTCCATATCTCACTTCTCAGATACTGAGCTGTGTCGATGCACGTCAAGCTGAGGTATCACGTAAGGCAGTTGAGGCTCATACAGTCCTCCTTAGTGCTGTGGAGGCTATAGGCAAGGACCCTACACAGGAGCAGTCCCCTTCGTAAGGATCACGACGACTACCACCATCACTGCTATAACTGTCACAACCATCTCAGTGACGATAGGGTCATCAGCGTCGTATGCCGGTATCTATCAGGCCCTCTTGACCAGACTGTTACACGTAGGTTATCATTACTACTTGTTGGGATTTACTACTCAGGTGCCTGCTGCCTTCAGTGGGTTTCCCTACTACTCGAGCAAAGTCCACAACAGATGCTCAGGGAAGTAGAGTGTAATCAACCAGATGCAGGTATAAAGCATTGTAATGGGGGGTAGTCGAATCCTATCCCGGCTAGATTCAGAATCGTCATCACAACGTGGACGCCGCCGCCGCCCCAGCCTGTTGGACTCGGTCTTTGCTACCTTACAACATCCTAGCTCAGAGGTCTGCATAGCAGCATTACAGGTCCTTAGTAGGATATCCTCCTTACCTAGAGATGATGAGTACGATTGTTATGTGGTAACCATGGAGGGTGGTATCTTTGGGATCAGGTATTTCCCATTGGTTTGTGCTCGCTTATTGGAGTTATTAAGGACCAATAGACAATCAGTGTCGCTTGCCGATGATGTAGATGAGGATGCTTTGCACGGCGGCGGCGGCGGCACTGGCAATCATCCCACCACGACTGGATCTGAGGAGGATGGTGTAGATGTGCAGCAGCATAACAACAACAACAACAACAACCGTCAGCATCATCATCATCAGAGGCTGCAGTCATTGGCCCTGAGGTGTCTATCAACTCATTGCTGCTGCTGTTGCTCCTGCTCGGTAGAGTTATCACAGATACAGACTCATAATTCGCCATCTATGCTGTCATGTGGACGTGGAACGTTTTTATCGTCATATTGCTCGCAACTTACAGCAAGATGAGGAAGATTCAGAGTTCAAGAGTGTTGCTGTGTACCTCTTCAATTGGATATTACTCACTGGTACTGTCCACTCCATCTTCAAACACTATGTATGTCTACAGCGCCGGAGACGAACACCCTTCGTGACATTCTACGTAGAGATGCTAACACGGAGCGGGCCCTAACCATCACTTGGCAGCAGATCACTGATCTAGCTATGAACACAACTGATTGGGATAAGAAAGAGTTGCCTCTGTTTATCAAAATACTCGTAGGCCTCATTAGTCCCCAGCTCGAATAACTATGTATGCTAACGAGGTGCCCTGGATGAGTAATCCTCCCAGTGCCTTGTCGTTTTGCTTATGGGCGGGGAGATATGACCTGGCCTGTAAATTCGTCGGTATGATTGCTGATGACCAAGTCTCTATTGGCTCTGCTGTGCCATGGAGTGTCCGCAAGGGCTTGGATGGCTGTAGGAATCGAGTGACTATGTATGCATAGCCTTTCCGTCCTCGTAGGCAACCCTACCCAGTCAACAGCTCATGCGGACAATGGCGATGGTGATACAGAGTCTCTGCTGCAACTGGATCAATTAGTGCATCTCCTGGAATCACCGGTCTTCACTAGATTGCGGCTAGAACTACTCCCTAACTCTTATCTTATCGGTAGGGACTCGACATACAATCTCAATATCTAGTGATTTTTAGAGGCTCCGGACAGGATAAAACGGCAGAGTCTGCTCGATTGCCTCGTAGGTTTGGTAATGCTCGTCCCACAGAACACTAGAGTAGTACAACTTGCTATATTATTGCCACAGTTATTGTCTTACAGGCCTTTCAGTTGCTCAAGAGGAGGCTCGATGTAGTTTATAAAGCATTCGCTATGTCTCGTCCAGTTTGATTATCTAATTTGAGTAGTAGTGCTATAAATGTGATATTGTTTCCTTATTATCTCCTTCGAGTCGAGTTGATGAGTTATAGTTCGATTTGCTGCGGTGTCCAGTTATGCGAGGGCAGTAGTCTGGCCGGGAAGGCTCTGCTCGCCTGAATGTCGCTATGAGACTGAGACAGTCGTCACCTGGGATATCGGGAAAGTCAATTTGAACCCAGTGATCCCTTCGATAACTCTCTTTAACGGCCACTCACTCTTCAAATCAACTTCGAGTGTTTTGGAAGAGCAAAATTATGAATGTGCCATTAGATTTTGCTAGAGGTTACCCGGTTAACTTCTAGAGGTTACCCGCTCTATCCGAATAACGACGGTGAACACAACTTTTCCCTAAATGCTGAAAAGTATTAGTAATGCGTGTTCCATATTCATGTCAGTTTTATTTGAACGCACTCATCGGCACCGCTAGCGTACCCTCTCGAGAAGGTCCAAGAGCCGTCTCTCCGCCACCGCTAAGTCCTCACAAGTCACTGTGCGAGCTATTGACTCTTCACTTGATCAACCATCGCTTCGATAGTGCACGGGCATTTGGTATCTTCCGGGATCAGTTGCCTTGGATTGCACGCTAAGAGGCATGCACAGCGAGCACGAAGCTCATCTGATAGGCGACAGGCCCAAGGGCCATCATGGACAACATGACGAGCGGCCACATGGAGACGAGCCAGATAAGAGCCATCATAGTAGATTGGAAAGCTGCAACACTTTCCCAAGGAGAGTGACTCCAATAATGCTATCGCAGTGTTTAGTTGAAGGTTGGTATCTTTCGCCTTTCCCAAGGCATGGTAAATAGATGCAACCTTGTTGAGGTAAAACACATGCATATTCCATCATAACGATGCCTTCATCAAACTGTAGTCTTAACACAGACTCGTCATTATCATCAGCATCACCATTAACGCTACAATACTCATCATCTATCATATCAGCAGCTGCTGGAATCAATCCGCAACCATCCCACACCACACGAGCGTCTTTAATGGCCTTGCCATTGACTGCTATCTCAAGTTCACACTTGCTGAGAGAGACAACGCGGCCACTGAGTTCAACTTCTCCTCGATATCTAACGGGTTCACCTTCACTTCATTGCTATCAGAAATCGTCGTTGATAGGACTCGCTCAGCGACAATATGTATCGTTCTCAGTGTCGGAATAATCCATAGCAAGCTGTATCAAGAAACCTGTCAGGCCGTCCTCTGTCACGCCGTCCCACACCAACACCATAAAGGCTATAATCGCCACGACAGAACCCTGATGCCTTGCAATGTACTCTTAACATGCTTCCTGCTGCACGCTCGTCATTGCCCATATGAAGGCAGCAGCATCCGAAGAGAACTCACTTCGGGTCGATCCTCTATCCAGTTGAAGGACAGTGGATGAGTAATGGATGGAGGAGCAGCTGAGCTGATGCCAGAGCATTCTCGTATGCAGATGACGTTGATGCGGCATATGTTGAGTTATGCTGTCTCCCACATCTTGACGGTGATAGTCTATTCTTCACACCTTCCGACGACTCGTGCAATGCCAATTCCTGTACGAGTGAGCCCTGTGGGTGACAGTACGTATATATCTACAATTGGAGTGGAACGATTCCTCCTCAACCTCCCATTCTATCCGGATCATGGATGGATCATGGATATGCTCACTGCTGCCGTCATCATCAAGGTCAGCTTCCCTCCTACTCTAATAGCATCACGATACAGGCCGGCGGCGGCGGCGGCGGGAGAAGGCTGCCACCATGATGGCCTTACCTCCCAAATACTGTCGTGCATAACAGCAATACCTCCCGCGGTCTGACTCTCGGTAGAGCTCAACCCCAACCTCTTTTTAGACGACGACTTGCACATGAAGATGGCTCGTTGCGGACTGCGAAATGAACCTTAATGTGGTGCAGACCGAACAAGGGTATACCAGGAGGTAGTGAGGGTAGTCGGCTGACCCGGATGTTGATACTATTGATACGACGATGAGCACTTGCTGATCTTGATAATGCTACAGGAGGAGTAGGTCAAGTGAGGTCTATGATCAAATAGTGTGGAGCGCTGACCTCTATAAGAGGAGGCTCCTAGCTGTCCAGGAGTAGTAATGGCATGGGCAGGCAGTCCAGCATTGTTAGAGTGGGAGCAGCCGGGCTTATATGCAGCTATAGTTAGGGTTGGATACTGACCATGGCGTTGTCGGGGTGAAGATATGTATACATAATTATAACAACACACCAACCACTGTCCTATTACCGACACACTATGACTGACGACACAACACCGTGAGAGGCATTGATAACAATGATGATGATGAATCAGCGAGCATGATTGAGTCCATGACTACACTAACTACTCAAGATAGACACCATTCTCGCCAGCCCACTTCTTGAAGACTCTATTTATGATGTACTCGACTTGTGGTATTTGATGCACTCTAGTACCTCGTAGTAGATCAACCACCTGATCAACACCTACTACTACCAAAGCGGCCACAACGAAAGGTCCTACTACCTGCTGTAGTTGTTCGGCTGGGGCCATGCCGGCTATAACCAACTGGAAGACTCCTACTGCGGAGCCTCTTTTACCATCCCAGAATTCGGGATCAGGATCGAGTCGCTCAAGCACATCAAAAGCCTTACAGGCTATAAAGAAGTGGCCATGCTTGTAGCAGTCGTTAGCTATCATTTGCAGTAGGTTGAAGATCTCCGTAGACGGGGAGGCCTCTTGACGGGAGTACAGCTCCCAGGCTGATGTCGGATCACCATTCATGATGAAACATCTGCATACCCACGAGAGGTAACTGAGTAGATATCAGCTACATACTGTTACTGATAGTAGGAATGATACTACCCGAATTCAGACGTATATTGAGTGTCATGTATCGAGAGGAGGGCTTGTTGGGCTTCCTTATAGTCACCAACACTCCCACATGCTATACCATAATTCCAGTTGAAATCATCATCAGCAGAGAAATAAGCCTTGATACTCTTCAAGTACACCAAAGCGTCCTCGAACTGCTTGCCCAGGTATAAGCAGGATGCCATACACTGACGTCCTGGTATTGTATCGCATTCTGAAGCACCTAGAGGCCAAAAGTGGCGAGCGAGTGGTATGGGTATCACTACTCGCTCCAACTAGATTGAAGACTTGTTGTGCTGTCTGCAACGACGCTCTCGACCCTGTATAGATCCAAGTAGGTAGTGAAGCAGTAGCATTAGTCTGACCCCCTTGTTGCTGTCCTATAACAGTATGTACTACAGCCTTGAGGATATGCTCTCGTGGTTGGCTAGGTATAACCCCCTACAACCACAATAGACTCACTCTAGCTGCCTACACTACCTCGAGTAGATTGAGGGCCTCTTGAGGATCTCCCTTAGGGTCCCTTAGATGGTATATGATCAAATTCAACCTAGCCTCCGGGACTATGTCTAGTAGTTGTGGTAATATCTACACATACTGCACACAGTGATACACATACTGCTTACTTCAAGAGCCCCTTCCCCATCACGGAATACAACCCTATTATGCCTGAGTATATCATTATGATTATATACTTTAGCGCCATGGTCAGCGCTGTGCTCACTCAACGCTTTACACGCATCCTCGGCTGCTTTACCTACTCGAGCAACGTAACAATAGTAGTAGTAGAGTACTTCTGTCCACACTACCATTGTAAAGTTGATACTGGCAGCATGCCTTGAGGTTATTGGCCGTGATGGAGGTAGGATACGTGGCTAGATACCTGGTAGTAGTCATCGTTATGATACCTCACTGATGACACTGAGTAGGTCCAGAACACCATTACGGTTCTAACATCTCATTGGCAACATCAAAAAAGTCCATCTTATAATAACAAAGGGCGAGGTATCTGCATAGGCATGTCTAGAGCACCGGTCATCCGAGACAATGCTGATACACATTCAATGCTTTATTATTAGCGTTATCCACCACCAGCTTCTTGTAGATGTCAGTAGCCTGTTGATAGTGGTTACGTAGATACCTAGTAGTGCATGATGATGATGATGATGACAAGTTTGTTATTATTGGTTTATAACTGTATTGCCGCTATGGTCAACTGCTGCTGATACTGCTGCTGCTGGTCATTGGTGCTTGAAGAGGTAGGATCCCTCCTAGTAAGTCGTTGATGCCACTTCATCATAGCTGCCTCGTCATTGAGCTTATGAGCAGTGTGTAGTAAGAGCCTTGTACGAAGATGGTCTAGAGCCTGAAGACTAAGACTCGAGCAATACTCAATAATGTTACTACTACCGCATCGTCGGTGGAATCCCCAATACTCTCAGCAATAGTATAGGCATCATCATACTCACATGCACCATACCTAATACTGAGATAGTCCAGGCATACTGTAATACGAGTATAATACTACAGGGAACATGCCTTCCACAACATGATCATAGCCTTCGACGCACTCTCAATGTTTGAGTAAGAGGATCGTGATAGTTCGTTATCTATAGATCATATCCCTCGGAGAGAGTGTTGGAGTACACCAGAGTACCATCATTAAGTATGTTATCATAGATCTCGATAGCCTTAGTGTATTGTCCAATATGAAAGTAACAGAAGGCTAACCAGAGTGATGAGGCAGGCCTGCATGATGACTCCACAACACTCGCTACAGCAACCTCACACCTCTCTTCACCAATAGCCTTCTCGAACTCTAGTACAGCCACAGCCCCAGTATAATCTCTCTTGAGCAGGAAATCAGTCAGTTCAGGCTTCGCACTGTCCGGTGGCTGCCTGCTAGTTAGTGCAGAGGCCCCAGAGACCGCAGTTGTTCTAGTTCGTCTCCTACTATTCACCGCTGAGCCTGGCCTTATCATGCACCACAAGGAACTAGGGTATTCACAGCGTACATCTACTAGACAGAGTTCGTGCTACGGAGAGCACCACCTGGGAGATGAAGACCATATAAAGTTAGTAAACATCAAATTTATGCCACCCCAGGTACACCTTTTCACGCCTAAGATCAAACTCTGCGTCCGGTACAGGCGAGGCCCCCGCAGACCTTCCGACTACAATCAGTTTCGCAAGCGATATAGCGAAATTAAGTTCGGTCGGAGTAAGGCTATTGGCCGTACTTAAGTCCTGATTTACCACGATGAGAACACAAGATAAAGCTAGCAGGAAATCGGTATGGCATTTGACGCCAAATATGCGTGCATGAGCAGTAGCCTTAAAGGAACTTCAACCAGTGCAGAGACTGTTACGGATAGTTAGGAGGGGTATCCTACATATTCCGGAAGAGGAATCAGATGATCGTAAGCTCTGCATAAAAATAGTAGCACTTTGAACAGTTATGAAATAGCGAGATGAGTGACATAACTAATTATACATATACTCACTTGGTAGAAAAATAATTTCCATCGTTCATCCTACTCCACCTCCTCCGACTAGTTGAGGCATGTTTCGATGTTCTACTAGGTTGTTGGGAGCTGGAGTTAGCATGAGAGTTCGTAATACCACTGCTGTCACCAAGATATACAACAACGCCACCGTGCATGTTGGGTTTATGCAGGTCTCTCACGAAGGCCTTCATGCCTTCAACAGAGGTAATACTATATTTAACGTTGAGTAAGGCCTCCCTATCACGGGAAGCAGCTTCGACAGTCTTCCTCAAGGGACCATAGACACGACGTTTCTCAACATAAATAGTACTTACGAAACCATAAGGGTTCTTCCATACTCCAGTAGGAGCATCATAATTCTTCCTTCTAGCTATTCTGGCGACTATTCTGGCCAGGTACGGAACTCGTTGTGGGATGATCGAGATTATCATCTCTCCTGGTAAACATGTCCGAATAATACAACAATGGTAGTCCCCAAAGAATGGTCCGACTTTACCAGAGCACTTTCGTGAAGCGTCGTCGTCGCACAATGCTGAAGTCAGCAAACAAAAAATGTCACAGACACCAAGCGGGCTATTAGGTAATGATGGTTCAGTTAGATCACGAGAAATAGGTAATAACGATGGGGAGGGAGAAGAAGGAGAAAGTTCCCACGATGGATGAATCGTGACATGATGATCTGTGAGTGACTCAACGCCGTTTAGGCAGTCTAAGCTACCACGACACATATCGCGACTGGCAGACAGGACTTGGCGTGCCTGTTGTATGCCTAGATAGTAACCATCACTCGGATACTACGACATAACACACTTCCTACATATATTCTTATACCGAGGAGCATCAGGATTCTGAATAGCATCCAGCAGCCTATTGTATGCTTCGGTGAGCATAGCATTAACCTCATACAGCGTCCAGGGCGTTGTCGTGTAGAGCTCAGAGGAAGGACCCGCAACATTCCAGGACGAGCTCCCCGATCCAGACGCAGACTCTGCGAACCCGGCCAAACCCAAACAGGGTCGGACTCTACTAGATACAAATCGATCAGCGCACCCACTAGTAGTATCGCTTACCTAACGAAGCCGCTGGTAGATTACATAGTGATGGATTTATCTGTAGTACTAGAGGAGATTTCAGCAGCATACAGTCGGAGGGGTTCTGACAACACTCTGGATGACGATGACCGAAAGAATGTTAATATACACTTCTCTCTGAGCAGGACTATGGTCAATGCGCAAGTCCATGCCGTTACCTTGCCCTCGACGCACTGCCGAATGGATACTCAAAGACATGGGGACTAGTTACCTGTGGGTGCGTCAAGAAACTCGGGGTTGAAGATGTTCTTATTGATCTCTCTACTCCCGACTTTAGCACGGCTTGTGCACACGTCGTACATAGCTGGTGTACACTGATGAAATGGGGGGCTTAACTATCGGTTAACGCTGAGGTGGGAATGACTAATCCTCCACTCGACGACCTCAGTCATTCAGCAGACTCGTATAAAGCCGTCCACAAATCAATAAAGTCCAGCTTCGGAAGAAATGCGTCTGGAGATCGACGAATCTCTACTATATACTAATAGGAGTGAACAAATCGTGCGTCAAAAAGTTGACTCCGTTCTTGGTTTGTCATATCCGCGTCTGATTTTCTCTGGGTACCTTACATGCCATTGAGACTATTCAGTACTACATTTGTCGTGCGACGAAGCTCCCTATGATTCACAGTATCTCTTGCATAGCGTGATCGATCAAAACGATTTAGATGTGTTAAACCGTCATAAAAATTTGCTCCGAGTAATTAATTCACAATCGTTTCCGTGCCTGTTTTCGGTTCCTTCCAGATTGTGTCTCACTGTCAACACCCCTACATATATCATGTTCGCCGTATACTTGGTACACTTCCATTCTATCAAGAACTGCCTTTTCCGTATCACTTACTGTAGCCGTATTTGTAAGATCGACCCTAATAGATATGCGCCGATGTACATTGTGTCAAAACGTTACAGGAAATTATTCACAGCAAAAATAATGCCTTTTCTCTATCTGATCAGCTTTACACCCTTAATACCTACTAAACACTTATTAATCTTTTACCATACGATAGCTTTGTGTCATACGCTTTTTTCTCACTAGCACGTTCAGTTTTCATGGAGATTTCTACCACATTGAACATGCGCCGATGTACACTGTGCCAAAAATTCACGACATTCACTGTCCACAGTCTGTGATGTGAAGTATAATTTCTATATTTTATGTCACATCACTCTCTCTCTCTCAAAACTCCACCGCCTCTCTCCCACTGCCAACAGATGTGTTGGTAGGGTTTATACATGTCAAGCTTTGACCGCTTCTAACCATGCAATTCACTGAGGTTTCCATACGGAGTACTTCGCGCCTGCAATACTTCATGCTTCGTCGTTTTACTGCTGAAGCACTTACATTTACATATGTTATCCTTCTTTACTCAATAACACCTGTATTGTAGGCATTACGAACGACTTGGTTATCCTACAATCTACTTTCATCCGTCGGTATTCATGACGTAGTGTTCAATTTTCACCCTCAAGAGTTAATTACTGATCGTGATACTGTTGAGGTACTTGCATCTACACATGCCACTCTTTTCTACATAATAACGCTCCTTTCATGGCATCACCAACTGCATCATCACCCTACCATTCGATACTAACGACGTGGTGACGAACGTCCAACGACTCTGTTGTACCTCCAGATCATCAGCCGATCCGTTTGTGAGGGTTCACTCATTCTTATCACCGACTCTTACTGATGTCGATCATGTGCCGCTTCCAGTCATGCACCATTCTTAGGTATCCGCAAAAACTACTCTTCACTCTCGAGACATTGCCGCTAATCGTGACACAGCCGGAGTAATTTATGATCATTTGCTACATAGTGATGCATCTGATTTGGATGATACAACCCACACTGTCACCCAACAATCCTCATTCCGAGTGTGTCATTCGCGGAATCGATATAATCAAACCTCCCATATGCGTGGGTTACAAGTGGCAGTCAACACTTGACAACACAAGACCAATTGGTAATAGAAGAGAGGGTAGTAAAATCCATCGAATTACTCGATTCGAATAATACGTCTGTTTCACCCCGAAGCCGATACTGTTCACTTGCAACCGTTTTTGCGATTGACGATTTTTCTATCTCAATGAAGATATTTAACCTCACTCTCTTGGTCGTATGATTGTGAAATGTTCATCATGTGATTCGGTACTCTCTCGTGAAGTCGCAGTCCATATCTGTGTCTCGGCTACCTGCTAAGGTAGCCGAGACATTATCGTTTTACGAAATTCTTTGTAATAGACTACTTGCTGCCACTATATCTCTCGCATCAGATCCTAACTCCCGATCTTCAGGAGAACACACACAACGCTATAATTTTCCCGCATCGTTAGGAGGCTATTTCACAAGCCCTCATAAGGAGCAACAATTGTGAGGTACCTTACGGTTTCGTTGCAAGGCACTTTTACATTCTTACGATTTGCGGGGTAGGAGTGAGGTAAGGTGTCACTAGGCTCCTCACCGTAAGGCTCCTTAGTAGGGAGTCCTTACCCTACAAGGAGCAGGGAGAGTCTCCCCACGTAAGGCTATTTCATAAGAGATATTTCAAGCCCCGTCCTTGGTGCCGTGAAATTGCTCCGGTGGTACATTATGGCACTTTATCGCACCGGCCTTACCATTCTCGGTTGTTCGCTCCGCTCTTTCCCGCCAGACCACGCGTCTCGCGGCGAGACACTCGTACGCGGATGTTCTGTCCCTGAACCAAGCAATTAGACTTGCAATTGCATATTCGACTTGGCGCTTTAGAGTTTTACGGTGATGACCGATTGTTCTCGAGCGAGTTGATGGTAGTGTTTTTGAGTTTGCTGTACTCAATGACCATAACCTTATTTTTGAGCTTCATCGGAGCACTGCGTCGACTTTTTCGTACGCGCCGGTATGCTCTATACTCTTAAGCTGAAGATGCACCTCGCGGACCTCAGTACGGAGCACGAGGTGCAACTATAGTGAAAGCACCTCGCGTAAGGTGTAAGTCTCCTTGTCCCTTGCTCCTAAATTAAAGGTGCACCTTAAGGAGCGTTTCTTGTGAAATAGGCCTTAGGGTTCCACTCACTGTCTGCTTCTACTCTGAGCAAAAACGAGCTTGAGAGTTCTGGAGCGAAGCGACGGGTTCTCTAACTTGGAGACTCTAAGTCAGATGAGTTTAAAGACTAAACTCAACATGGATATACAGTAAAGCCTGCATGAGGGAATGATTCGCCATCTTGATCTGCAATTCATGGAGACCCATCAGGTTTATGAAGTTCGTATCCGGAGTTCGACTTGCTACTACCCGATTAAGTACTTAAGTCCATCATCGTTTGCCCGACTCGCTTCAATCTATTCAATGCAGTGTACTATCAAGCTGAGTTTTCGACGACTCTGTTGTATCGTGTGTTCATATGACTGGACAGAGCTCAGTATAGCATACAGTCGCATGTGAATCACCATGTGCTAGCTACTATCTCATATCATCCACACTAACATGATGTTAGTAACATCTAATGATTAGATTGTGCTCCAGAGCGGGCGGCTCTGAGCGACTCTATGTTGTGTCCTTGCTATCATACGATCCGCTAGCAGAATCGTGTTCTCAAGTTACTCCGAAAGTGTTAGCTTGAGAATGAATAAGGAGCGTGGCATAGTACGGTGATTGTTGCGTAAGAAACTGGCACGGTTGAGAGCGGTCAGAATGGGCGCTTGTCTGAATATCTATGGAATGGTTTAACCGTTACGGTTACGAGTGTCACCTATTCCTCTTAATATGGTATCCGCTATGTGACTGGGTATCGAGTGCTCCAATTTCAGAGGGAATTGTCCTTGTTGGAAAAGAAATCGAAAATCTCGTGACTTACTTGAAAAAGTGTCACGCTCCGTATAACATTGATCTTTTCATCTCAACCTGAGACTTCCAAGGACGCATAGGTCTACGTTCTCGATTCAGTGCAACAAGGACATAATTTAACTGGTGTATCTTAACATATCGCTTACACCCCCGAGCGTCAGCGAGCTAGAGAACCCCGGAGCGAAGCGACGGGTTCTGCTAGTGATGTAGATTTGCCTCAAACCGTGTGTGCCTCTTATGAGATACGATCTATCTGAATCTTGAACCGCGCGAGCACCGAAACGGTCAGTGCACCTCGAGCCTTGCAGCAAACCCGATGACACTATATCCCAGTTCTTTCAACGTCGTCGAGGAAGATGAGCTACGACATATCCTGGTAGCAAACCTACGCAAGAGAATCGGGGTGAACGAAACTATCACGCAAAGCCCATGCGCATAACAGACACTTGTGTGCGCCAAGGACGATTTGAGATGTGTGGTAGTTCAATGATAGCGAAGTGTTAGCTATATAAGTACAGCCGTGTAGCCGTGTTGCTGTTATAATGGTGGAAACGAGCTCAATCCAGCCATGTGTTTCCTGGATGTGGAGGTAGGATATTAGAGGCTGCTGACTCGATCCGGGAAGGGTATGGAGTCGGACACTTCTCGTGTCCTACTAACCGTACTACGGCTGCCGTAGTGGCCTACAACTGATCGTTGACACTGATGAGGATGTTGTAGGTCAGAACAGAGCCACTTACGGTCTACACTCCCAAGTTCTGCCTCGTGGGAATTTCGTATCCTCGAGTTGATAGGCTCGGAATATGTTTCAGCAGTTGACTATATTGGGATGCACACTATCAATCAAATAATCTCACTTCGCCCACCTCGAGTAACTCAACTATTTCTTGTGAAGCGTTAGAATATTGCGAACGGTACCCTCCGGCACCATGCCTACAGGTAATACTATTACCTGGATATGGGATGTTTTGAGAGTACTAGTGAAGTGACTTTGGTAGAGGTAATGAACTGTTATAGTACCCCTACATAAAGAACACAGTCAGCTCAGGTTACACTATGTATGGTAGTAGATGGCAAACCACTACACCGATTCATGATGCCGAGAACACAGAGGAGCCTCAGTGAGAGAGCCGATAAATACAGCCGTTGTCGAATGAAGCAATAGCATCCCTACATGACAACGTTGTATGATCAGTGCACAAGCACGTACAACAATAGTAGAGATGTGGCATGCCTTGACATAGAGTGAGATCATGAGATTTGAAACCCCTTTCAATTGTCTTGCCGACTTACCGTGTAAATACGGCAAAAAATAGAGTAAGAATGATTATGCAGCAATGGTCAGTGCGAACAACGACGAAAAAAGTTACTGTGTACATCGGTACCTCCATCTAAATGTTTATAAGCTCGTCATTGGCGTTATACGACTGATGAGACGACATACACTGGTTTCGTGACAAAATAGGAGCTTTCTCG